CAACAGGCAGTTGGTCCAACGGTCCATAGGACCAACAGGCCAGTTGGTCCAACCGGTCCATAGGACCAACAGGCCAGTTGGTCCAATCGGTCCATAGGACCAACAGGCCAGTTGGTCCACCGGTCCATAGGACCAACAGGCCAGTTGGTCCAACCGGTCCATAGGACCAACAGGCCAGTTGGTCAACCGGTCCATAGGACCAACAGGCCAGTTGGTCCAACCGGTCCATAGGACCAACAGGCCAGTTGGTCCAACCGGTCCATAGGACCAACAGGCCAGTTGGTCCAACCGGTCCATAGGACCAACAGGCCAGTTGGTCCAACCGGTCCATAGGACCAACAGGCCAGTTGGTCCAACCGGTCCATAGGCAAACAAACAGGCCAGTTGGTCCAACCGGTCCATAGGACCAACAGGCCAGTTGGTCCAACCGGTCCATAGGACCAACAGGCCAGTTGGTCCAACCGGTCCATAGGACCAACAGGCCAGTTGGTCCAACCGGTCCATAGGACCAACAGGCCAGTTGGTCCAACCGGTCCATAGGACCAACAGGCCAGTTGGTCCAACCGGTCCATAGGACCAACAGGCCAGTTGGTCCAACCGGTCCATAGGACCAACAGGCCAGTTGGTCCAACCGGTCCATAGGACCAACAGGCCAGTTGGTCCAACCGGTCCATAGGACCAACAGGCCAGTTGGTCCACCGGTCCATAGGACCAACAGGCCAGTTGGTCCAACCGGTCCATAGGACCAACAGGCCAGTTGGTCCAACCGGTCCATAGGACCAACAGGCCAGTTGGTCCAACCGGTCCATAGGACCAACAGGCCAGTTGGTCCAACCGGTCCATAGGACCAACAGGCCAGTTGGTCCAACCGGTCCATAGGACCAACAGGCCAGTTGGTCCAACCGGTCCATAGGACCAACAGGCCAGTTGGTCCAACCGGTCCATAGGACCAACAGGCCAGTTGGTCCAACCGGTCCATAGGACCAACAGGCCAGTTGGTCCAACCGGTCCATAGGACCAACAGGCCAGTTGGTCCAACCGGTCCATAGGACCAACAGGCCAGTTGGTCCAACCGGTCCATAGGACCAACAGGCCAGTTGGTCCAACCGGTCCATAGGACCAACAGGCCAGTTGGTCCAACCGGTCCATAGGACCAACAGGCCAGTTGGTCCAACCGGTCCATAGGACCAACAGGCCAGTTGGTCCAACCGGTCCATAGGACCAACAGGCCAGTTGGTCCAACCGGTCCATAGGACCAACAGGCCAGTTGGTCCAACCGGTCCATAGGACCAACAGGCCAGTTGGTCCAACCGGTCCATAGGACCAACAGGCCAGTTGGTCCAACCGGTCCATAGGACCAACATGCCAGTTGGTCCAACCGGTCCATAGGACCAACAGGCCAGTTGGTCCAACCGGTCCATAGGACCAACAGGCCAGTTGGTCCAACCGGTCCATAGGACCAACAGGCCAGTTGGTCCAACCGGTCCATAGGACCAACAGGCCAGTTGGTCCAACCGGTCCATAGGACCAACAGGCCAGTTGGTCCAACCGGTCCATAGGACCAACAGGCCAGTTGGTCCAACCGGTCCATAGGACCAACAGGCCAGTTGGTCCAACCGGTCCATAGGACCAACAGGCCAGTTGGTCCAACCGGTCCATAGGACCAACAGGCCAGTTGGTCCAACCGGTCCATAGGACCAACAGGCCAGTTGGTCCAACCGGTCCATAGGACCAACAGGCCAGTTGGTCCAACCGGTCCATAGGACCAACAGGCCAGTTGGTCCAACCGGTCCATAGGACCAACAGGCCAGTTGGTCCAACCGGTCCATAGGACCAACAGGCCAGTTGGTCCAACCGGTCCATAGGACCAACAGGCCAGTTGGTCCAACCGGTCCATAGGACCAACAGGCCAGTTGGTCCAACCGGTCCATAGGACCAACAGGCCAGTTGGTCCAACCGGTCCATAGGACCAACAGGCCAGTTGGTCCAACCGGTCCATAGGACCAACAGGCCAGTTGGTCCAACCGGTCCATAGGACCAACAGGCCAGTTGGTCCAACCGGTCCATAGGACCAACAGGCCAGTTGGTCCAACCGGTCCATAGGACCAACAGGCCAGTTGGTCCAACCGGTCCATAGGACCAACAGGCCAGTTGGTCCAACCGGTCCATAGGACCAACAGGCCAGTTGGTCCAACCGGTCCATAGGACCAACAGGCCAGTTGGTCCAACCGGTCCATAGGACCAACAGGCCAGTTGGTCCAACCGGTCCATAGGACCAACAGGCCAGTTGGTCCAACCGGTCCATAGGACCAACAGGCCAGTTGGTCCAACCGGTCCATAGGACCAACAGGCCAGTTGGTCCAACCGGTCCATAGGACCAACAGGCCAGTTGGTCCAACCGGTCCATAGGACCAACAGGCCAGTTGGTCCAACCGGTCCATAGGACCAACAGGCCAGTTGGTCCAACCGGTCCATAGGACCAACAGGCCAGTTGGTCCAACCGGTCCATAGGACCAACAGGCCAGTTGGTCCAACCGGTCCATAGGACCAACAGGCCAGTTGGTCCAACCGGTCCATAGGACCAACAGGCCAGTTGGTCCAACCGGTCCATAGGACCAACAGGCCAGTTGGTCCAACCGGTCCATAGGACCAACAGGCCAGTTGGTCCAACCGGTCCATAGGACCAACAGGCCAGTTGGTCCAACCGGTCCATAGGACCAACAGGCCAGTTGGTCCAACCGGTCCATAGGACCAACAGGCCAGTTGGTCCAACCGGTCCATAGGACCAACAGGCCAGTTGGTCCAACCGGTCCATAGGACCAACAGGCCAGTTGGTCCAACCGGTCCATAGGACCAACAGGCCAGTTGGTCCAACCGGTCCATAGGACCAACAGGCCAGTTGGTCCAACCGGTCCATAGGACCAACAGGCCAGTTGGTCCAACCGGTCCATAGGACCAACAGGCCAGTTGGTCCAACCGGTCCATAGGACCAACAGGCCAGTTGGTCCAACCGGTCCATAGGACCAACAGGCCAGTTGGTCCAACCGGTCCATAGGACCAACAGGCCAGTTGGTCCAACCGGTCCATAGGACCAACAGGCCAGTTGGTCCAACCGGTCCATAGGACCAACAGGCCAGTTGGTCCAACCGGTCCATAGGACCAACAGGCCAGTTGGTCCAACCGGTCCATAGGACCAACAGGCCAGTTGGTCCAACCGGTCCATAGGACCAACAGGCCAGTTGGTCCAACCGGTCCATAGGACCAACAGGCCAGTTGGTCCAACCGGTCCATAGGACCAACAGGCCAGTTGGTCCAACCGGTCCATAGGACCAACAGGCCAGTTGGTCCAACCGGTCCATAGGACCAACAGGCCAGTTGGTCCAACCGGTCCATAGGACCAACAGGCCAGTTGGTCCAACCGGTCCATAGGACCAACAGGCCAGTTGGTCCAACCGGTCCATAGGACCAACAGGCCAGTTGGTCCAACCGGTCCATAGGACCAACAGGCCAGTTGGTCCAACCGGTCCATAGGACCAACAGGCCAGTTGGTCCAACCGGTCCATAGGACCAACAGGCCAGTTGGTCCAACCGGTCCATAGGACCAACAGGCCAGTTGGTCCAACCGGTCCATAGGACCAACAGGCCAGTTGGTCCAACCGGTCCATAGGACCAACAGGCCAGTTGGTCCAACCGGTCCATAGGACCAACAGGCCAGTTGGTCCAACCGGTCCATAGGACCAACAGGCCAGTTGGTCCAACCGGTCCATAGGACCAACAGGCCAGTTGGTCCAACCGGTCCATAGGACCAACAGGCCAGTTGGTCCAACCGGTCCATAGGACCAACAGGCCAGTTGGTCCAACCGGTCCATAGGACCAACAGGCCAGTTGGTCCAACCGGTCCATAGGACCAACAGGCCAGTTGGTCCAACCGGTCCATAGGACCAACAGGCCAGTTGGTCCAACCGGTCCATAGGACCAACAGGCCAGTTGGTCCAACCGGTCCATAGGACCAACAGGCCAGTTGGTCCAACCGGTCCATAGGACCAACAGGCCAGTTGGTCCAACCGGTCCATAGGACCAACAGGCCAGTTGGTCCAACCGGTCCATAGGACCAACAGGCCAGTTGGTCCAACCGGTCCATAGGACCAACAGGCCAGTTGGTCCAACCGGTCCATAGGACCAACAGGCCAGTTGGTCCAACCGGTCCATAGGACCAACAGGCCAGTTGGTCCAACCGGTCCATAGGACCAACAGGCCAGTTGGTCCAACCGGTCCATAGGACCAACAGGCCAGTTGGTCCAACCGGTCCATAGGACCAACAGGCCAGTTGGTCCAACCGGTCCATAGGACCAACAGGCCAGTTGGTCCAACCGGTCCATAGGACCAACAGGCCAGTTGGTCCAACCGGTCCATAGGACCAACAGGCCAGTTGGTCCAACCGGTCCATAGGACCAACAGGCCAGTTGGTCCAACCGGTCCATAGGACCAACAGGCCAGTTGGTCCAACCGGTCCATAGGACCAACAGGCCAGTTGGTCCAACCGGTCCATAGGACCAACAGGCCAGTTGGTCCAACCGGTCCATAGGACCAACAGGCCAGTTGGTCCAACCGGTCCATAGGACCAACAGGCCAGTTGGTCCAACCGGTCCATAGGACCAACAGGCCAGTTGGTCCAACCGGTCCATAGGACCAACAGGCCAGTTGGTCCAACCGGTCCATAGGACCAACAGGCCAGTTGGTCCAACCGGTCCATAGGACCAACAGGCCAGTTGGTCCAACCGGTCCATAGGACCAACAGGCCAGTTGGTCCAACCGGTCCATAGGACCAACAGGCCAGTTGGTCCAACCGGTCCATAGGACCAACAGGCCAGTTGGTCCAACCGGTCCATAGGACCAACAGGCCAGTTGGTCCAACCGGTCCATAGGACCAACAGGCCAGTTGGTCCAACCGGTCCATAGGACCAACAGGCCAGTTGGTCCAACCGGTCCATAGGACCAACAGGCCAGTTGGTCCAACCGGTCCATAGGACCAACAGGCCAGTTGGTCCAACCGGTCCATAGGACCAACAGGCCAGTTGGTCCAACCGGTCCATAGGACCAACAGGCCAGTTGGTCCAACCGGTCCATAGGACCAACAGGCCAGTTGGTCCAACCGGTCCATAGGACCAACAGGCCAGTTGGTCCAACCGGTCCATAGGACCAACAGGCCAGTTGGTCCAACCGGTCCATAGGACCAACAGGCCAGTTGGTCCAACCGGTCCATAGGACCAACAGGCCAGTTGGTCCAACCGGTCCATAGGACCAACAGGCCAGTTGGTCCAACCGGTCCATAGGACCAACAGGCCAGTTGGTCCAACCGGTCCATAGGACCAACAGGCCAGTTGGTCCAACCGGTCCATAGGACCAACAGGCCAGTTGGTCCAACCGGTCCATAGGACCAACAGGCCAGTTGGTCCAACCGGTCCATAGGACCAACAGGCCAGTTGGTCCAACCGGTCCATAGGACCAACAGGCCAGTTGGTCCAACCGGTCCATAGGACCAACAGGCCAGTTGGTCCAACCGGTCCATAGGACCAACAGGCCAGTTGGTCCAACCGGTCCATAGGACCAACAGGCCAGTTGGTCCAACCGGTCCATAGGACCAACAGGCCAGTTGGTCCAACCGGTCCATAGGACCAACAGGCCAGTTGGTCCAACCGGTCCATAGGACCAACAGGCCAGTTGGTCCAACCGGTCCATAGGACCAACAGGCCAGTTGGTCCAACCGGTCCATAGGACCAACAGGCCAGTTGGTCCAACCGGTCCATAGGACCAACAGGCCAGTTGGTCCAACCGGTCCATAGGACCAACAGGCCAGTTGGTCCAACCGGTCCATAGGACCAACAGGCCAGTTGGTCCAACCGGTCCATAGGACCAACAGGCCAGTTGGTCCAACCGGTCCATAGGACCAACAGGCCAGTTGGTCCAACCGGTCCATAGGACCAACAGGCCAGTTGGTCCAACCGGTCCATAGGACCAACAGGCCAGTTGGTCCAACCGGTCCATAGGACCAACAGGCCAGTTGGTCCAACCGGTCCATAGGACCAACAGGCCAGTTGGTCCAACCGGTCCATAGGACCAACAGGCCAGTTGGTCCAACCGGTCCATAGGACCAACAGGCCAGTTGGTCCAACCGGTCCATAGGACCAACAGGCCAGTTGGTCCAACCGGTCCATAGGACCAACAGGCCAGTTGGTCCAACCGGTCCATAGGACCAACAGGCCAGTTGGTCCAACCGGTCCATAGGACCAACAGGCCAGTTGGTCCAACCGGTCCATAGGACCAACAGGCCAGTTGGTCCAACCGGTCCATAGGACCAACAGGCCAGTTGGTCCAACCGGTCCATAGGACCAACAGGCCAGTTGGTCCAACCGGTCCATAGGACCAACAGGCCAGTTGGTCCAACCGGTCCATAGGACCAACAGGCCAGTTGGTCCAACCGGTCCATAGGACCAACAGGCCAGTTGGTCCAACCGGTCCATAGGACCAACAGGCCAGTTGGTCCAACCGGTCCATAGGACCAACAGGCCAGTTGGTCCAACCGGTCCATAGGACCAACAGGCCAGTTGGTCCAACCGGTCCATAGGACCAACAGGCCAGTTGGTCCAACCGGTCCATAGGACCAACAGGCCAGTTGGTCCAACCGGTCCATAGGACCAACAGGCCAGTTGGTCCAACCGGTCCATAGGACCAACAGGCCAGTTGGTCCAACCGGTCCATAGGACCAACAGGCCAGTTGGTCCAACCGGTCCATAGGACCAACAGGCCAGTTGGTCCAACCGGTCCATAGGACCAACAGGCCAGTTGGTCCAACCGGTCCATAGGACCAACAGGCCAGTTGGTCCAACCGGTCCATAGGACCAACAGGCCAGTTGGTCCAACCGGTCCATAGGACCAACAGGCCAGTTGGTCCAACCGGTCCATAGGACCAACAGGCCAGTTGGTCCAACCGGTCCATAGGACCAACAGGCCAGTTGGTCCAACCGGTCCATAGGACCAACAGGCCAGTTGGTCCAACCGGTCCATAGGACCAACAGGCCAGTTGGTCCAACCGGTCCATAGGACCAACAGGCCAGTTGGTCCAACCGGTCCATAGGACCAACAGGCCAGTTGGTCCAACCGGTCCATAGGACCAACAGGCCAGTTGGTCCAACCGGTCCATAGGACCAACAGGCCAGTTGGTCCAACCGGTCCATAGGACCAACAGGCCAGTTGGTCCAACCGGTCCATAGGACCAACAGGCCAGTTGGTCCAACCGGTCCATAGGACCAACAGGCCAGTTGGTCCAACCGGTCCATAGGACCAACAGGCCAGTTGGTCCAACCGGTCCATAGGACCAACAGGCCAGTTGGTCCAACCCCCATGGCCCAACCACCCAACGGTCCAACCGGTCCAGGACCAACCGGCCAGTTGGTCCACCACCAGTCCATCCCCAGCCCCACCGGTCCACCAACCCAGGCCAGGTCCAACCGGTCCATAGGACCAACAGGCCAGTTGGTCCAACCGGTCCATAGGACCAACAGGCCAGTTGGTCCAACCGGTCCATAGGACCAACAGGCCAGTTGGTCCAACCGGTCCATAGGACCAACAGGCCAGTTGGTCCAACCGGTCCATAGGACCAACAGGCCAGTTGGTCCAACCGGTCCATAGGACCAACAGGCCAGTTGGTCCAACCGGTCCATAGGACCAACAGGCCAGTTGGTCCAACCGGTCCATAGGACCAACAGGCCAGTTGGTCCAACCGGTCCATAGGACCAACAGGCCAGTTGGTCCAACCGGTCCATAGGACCAACAGGCCAGTTGGTCCAACCGGTCCATAGGACCAACAGGCCAGTTGGTCCAACCGGTCCATAGGACCAACAGGCCAGTTGGTCCAACCGGTCCATAGGACCAACAGGCCAGTTGGTCCAACCGGTCCATAGGACCAACAGGCCAGTTGGTCCAACCGGTCCATAGGACCAACAGGCCAGTTGGTCCAACCGGTCCATAGGACCAACAGGCCAGTTGGTCCAACCGGTCCATAGGACCAACAGGCCAGTTGGTCCAACCGGTCCATAGGACCAACAGGCCAGTTGGTCCAACCGGTCCATAGGACCAACAGGCCAGTTGGTCCAACCGGTCCATAGGACCAACAGGCCAGTTGGTCCAACCGGTCCATAGGACCAACAGGCCAGTTGGTCCAACCGGTCCATAGGACCAACAGGCCAGTTGGTCCAACCGGTCCATAGGACCAACAGGCCAGTTGGTCCAACCGGTCCATAGGACCAACAGGCCAGTTGGTCCAACCGGTCCATAGGACCAACAGGCCAGTTGGTCCAACCGGTCCATAGGACCAACAGGCCAGTTGGTCCAACCGGTCCATAGGACCAACAGGCCAGTTGGTCCAACCGGTCCATAGGACCAACAGGCCAGTTGGTCCAACCGGTCCATAGGACCAACAGGCCAGTTGGTCCAACCGGTCCATAGGACCAACAGGCCAGTTGGTCCAACCGGTCCATAGGACCAACAGGCCAGTTGGTCCAACCGGTCCATAGGACCAACAGGCCAGTTGGTCCAACCGGTCCATAGGACCAACAGGCCAGTTGGTCCAACCGGTCCATAGGACCAACAGGCCAGTTGGTCCAACCGGTCCATAGGACCAACAGGCCAGTTGGTCCAACCGGTCCATAGGACCAACAGGCCAGTTGGTCCAACCGGTCCATAGGACCAACAGGCCAGTTGGTCCAACCGGTCCATAGGACCAACAGGCCAGTTGGTCCAACCGGTCCATAGGACCAACAGGCCAGTTGGTCCAACCGGTCCATAGGACCAACAGGCCAGTTGGTCCAACCGGTCCATAGGACCAACAGGCCAGTTGGTCCAACCGGTCCATAGGACCAACAGGCCAGTTGGTCCAACCGGTCCATAGGACCAACAGGCCAGTTGGTCCAACCGGTCCATAGGACCAACAGGCCAGTTGGTCCAACCGGTCCATAGGACCAACAGGCCAGTTGGTCCAACCGGTCCATAGGACCAACAGGCCAGTTGGTCCAACCGGTCCATAGGACCAACAGGCCAGTTGGTCCAACCGGTCCATAGGACCAACAGGCCAGTTGGTCCAACCGGTCCATAGGACCAACAGGCCAGTTGGTCCAACCGGTCCATAGGACCAACAGGCCAGTTGGTCCAACCGGTCCATAGGACCAACAGGCCAGTTGGTCCAACCGGTCCATAGGACCAACAGGCCAGTTGGTCCAACCGGTCCATAGGACCAACAGGCCAGTTGGTCCAACCGGTCCATAGGACCAACAGGCCAGTTGGTCCAACCGGTCCATAGGACCAACAGGCCAGTTGGTCCAACCGGTCCATAGGACCAACAGGCCAGTTGGTCCAACCGGTCCATAGGACCAACAGGCCAGTTGGTCCAACCGGTCCATAGGACCAACAGGCCAGTTGGTCCAACCGGTCCATAGGACCAACAGGCCAGTTGGTCCAACCGGTCCATAGGACCAACAGGCCAGTTGGTCCAACCGGTCCATAGGACCAACAGGCCAGTTGGTCCAACCGGTCCATAGGACCAACAGGCCAGTTGGTCCAACCGGTCCATAGGACCAACAGGCCAGTTGGTCCAACCGGTCCATAGGACCAACAGGCCAGTTGGTCCAACCGGTCCATAGGACCAACAGGCCAGTTGGTCCAACCGGTCCATAGGACCAACAGGCCAGTTGGTCCAACCGGTCCATAGGACCAACAGGCCAGTTGGTCCAACCGGTCCATAGGACCAACAGGCCAGTTGGTCCAACCGGTCCATAGGACCAACAGGCCAGTTGGTCCAACCGGTCCATAGGACCAACAGGCCAGTTGGTCCAACCGGTCCATAGGACCAACAGGCCAGTTGGTCCAACCGGTCCATAGGACCAACAGGCCAGTTGGTCCAACCGGTCCATAGGACCAACAGGCCAGTTGGTCCAACCGGTCCATAGGACCAACAGGCCAGTTGGTCCAACCGGTCCATAGGACCAACAGGCCAGTTGGTCCAACCGGTCCATAGGACCAACAGGCCAGTTGGTCCAACCGGTCCATAGGACCAACAGGCCAGTTGGTCCAACCGGTCCATAGGACCAACAGGCCAGTTGGTCCAACCGGTCCATAGGACCAACAGGCCAGTTGGTCCAACCGGTCCATAGGACCAACAGGCCAGTTGGTCCAACCGGTCCATAGGACCAACAGGCCAGTTGGTCCAACCGGTCCATAGGACCAACAGGCCAGTTGGTCCAACCGGTCCATAGGACCAACAGGCCAGTTGGTCCAACCGGTCCATAGGACCAACAGGCCAGTTGGTCCAACCGGTCCATAGGACCAACAGGCCAGTTGGTCCAACCGGTCCATAGGACCAACAGGCCAGTTGGTCCAACCGGTCCATAGGACCAACAGGCCAGTTGGTCCAACCGGTCCATAGGACCAACAGGCCAGTTGGTCCAACCGGTCCATAGGACCAACAGGCCAGTTGGTCCAACCGGTCCATAGGACCAACAGGCCAGTTGGTCCAACCGGTCCATAGGACCAACAGGCCAGTTGGTTCCACCGGTCCATAGGACCAACCGGTCCATTGGTCCAACCGGTCCATAGGACCAACCAGGCCAGTTGGTCCAACCGGTCCATAGGAACCAACAGGCCAGTTGGTCCAACCGGTCCATAGGACCAACAGGCCAGTTGGTCCAACCGGTCCATAGGACCAACAGGCCAGTTGGTCCAACCGGTCCATAGGACCAACAGGCCAGTTGGTCCAACCGGTCCATAGGACCAACAGGCCAGTTGGTCCAACGGTCCATAGGACCAACAGGCCAGTTGGTCCAACCGGTCCATAGGACCAACAGGCCAGTTGGTCCAACCGGTCCATAGGACCAACAGGCCAGTTGGTCCAACCGGTCCATAGGACCAACAGGCCAGTTGGTCCAACCGGTCCATAGGACCAACAGGCCAGTTGGTCCAACCGGTCCATAGGACCAACAGGCCAGTTGGTCCAACCGGTCCATAGGACCAACAGGCCAGTTGGTCCAACCGGTCCATAGGACCAACAGGCCAGTTGGTCCAACCGGTCCATAGGACCAACAGGCCAGTTGGTCCAACCGGTCCATAGGACCAACAGGCCAGTTGGTCCAACCGGTCCATAGGACCAACAGGCCAGTTGGTCCAACCGGTCCATAGGACCAACAGGCCAGTTGGTCCAACCGGTCCATAGGACCAACAGGCCAGTTGGTCCAACCGGTCCATAGGACCAACAGGCCAGTTGGTCCAACCGGTCCATAGGACCAACAGGCCAGTTGGTCCAACCGGTCCATAGGACCAACAGGCCAGTTGGTCCAACCGGTCCATAGGACCAACAGGCCAGTTGGTCCAACCGGTCCATAGGACCAACAGGCCAGTTGGTCCAACCGGTCCATAGGACCAACAGGCCAGTTGGTCCAACCGGTCCATAGGACCAACAGGCCAGTTGGTCCAACCGGTCCATAGGACCAACAGGCCAGTTGGTCCAACCGGTCCATAGGACCAACAGGCCAGTTGGTCCAACCGGTCCATAGGACCAACAGGCCAGTTGGTCCAACCGGTCCATAGGACCAACAGGCCAGTTGGTCCAACCGGTCCATAGGACCAACAGGCCAGTTGGTCCAACCGGTCCATAGGACCAACAGGCCAGTTGGTCCAACCGGTCCATAGGACCAACAGGCCAGTTGGTCCAACCGGTCCATAGGACCAACAGGCCAGTTGGTCCAACCGGTCCATAGGACCAACAGGCCAGTTGGTCCAACCGGTCCATAGGACCAACAGGCCAGTTGGTCCAACCGGTCCATAGGACCAACAGGCCAGTTGGTCCAACCGGTCCATAGGACCAACAGGCCAGTTGGTCCAACCGGTCCATAGGACCAACAGGCCAGTTGGTCCAACCGGTCCATAGGACCAACAGGCCAGTTGGTCCAACCGGTCCATAGGACCAACAGGCCAGTTGGTCCAACCGGTCCATAGGACCAACAGGCCAGTTGGTCCAACCGGTCCATAGGACCAACAGGCCAGTTGGTCCAACCGGTCCATAGGACCAACAGGCCAGTTGGTCCAACCGGTCCATAGGACCAACAGGCCAGTTGGTCCAACCGGTCCATAGGACCAACAGGCCAGTTGGTCCAACCGGTCCATAGGACCAACAGGCCAGTTGGTCCAACCGGTCCATAGGACCAACAGGCCAGTTGGTCCAACCGGTCCATAGGACCAACAGGCCAGTTGGTCCAACCGGTCCATAGGACCAACAGGCCAGTTGGTCCAACCGGTCCATAGGACCAACAGGCCAGTTGGTCCAACCGGTCCATAGGACCAACAGGCCAGTTGGTCCAACCGGTCCATAGGACCAACAGGCCAGTTGGTCCAACCGGTCCATAGGACCAACAGGCCAGTTGGTCCAACCGGTCCATAGGACCAACAGGCCAGTTGGTCCAACCGGTCCATAGGACCAACAGGCCAGTTGGTCCAACCGGTCCATAGGACCAACAGGCCAGTTGGTCCAACCGGTCCATAGGACCAACAGGCCAGTTGGTCCAACCGGTCCATAGGACCAACAGGCCAGTTGGTCCAACCGGTCCATAGGACCAACAGGCCAGTTGGTCCAACCGGTCCATAGGACCAACAGGCCAGTTGGTCCAACCGGTCCATAGGACCAACAGGCCAGTTGGTCCAACCGGTCCATAGGACCAACAGGCCAGTTGGTCCAACCGGTCCATAGGACCAACAGGCCAGTTGGTCCAACCGGTCCATAGGACCAACAGGCCAGTTGGTCCAACCGGTCCATAGGACCAACAGGCCAGTTGGTCCAACCGGTCCATAGGACCAACAGGCCAGTTGGTCCAACCGGTCCATAGGACCAACAGGCCAGTTGGTCCAACCGGTCCATAGGACCAACAGGCCAGTTGGTCCAACCGGTCCATAGGACCAACAGGCCAGTTGGTCCAACCGGTCCATAGGACCAACAGGCCAGTTGGTCCAACCGGTCCATAGGACCAACAGGCCAGTTGGTCCAACCGGTCCATAGGACCAACAGGCCAGTTGGTCCAACCGGTCCATAGGACCAACAGGCCAGTTGGTCCAACCGGTCCATAGGACCAACAGGCCAGTTGGTCCAACCGGTCCATAGGACCAACAGGCCAGTTGGTCCAACCGGTCCATAGGACCAACAGGCCAGTTGGTCCAACCGGTCCATAGGACCAACAGGCCAGTTGGTCCAACCGGTCCATAGGACCAACAGGCCAGTTGGTCCAACCGGTCCATAGGACCAACAGGCCAGTTGGTCCAACCGGTCCATAGGACCAACAGGCCAGTTGGTCCAACCGGTCCATAGGACCAACAGGCCAGTTGGTCCAACCGGTCCATAGGACCAACAGGCCAGTTGGTCCAACCGGTCCATAGGACCAACAGGCCAGTTGGTCCAACCGGTCCATAGGACCAACAGGCCAGTTGGTCCAACCGGTCCATAGGACCAACAGGCCAGTTGGTCCAACCGGTCCATAGGACCAACAGGCCAGTTGGTCCAACCGGTCCATAGGACCAACAGGCCAGTTGGTCCAACCGGTCCATAGGACCAACAGGCCAGTTGGTCCAACCGGTCCATAGGACCAACAGGCCAGTTGGTCCAACCGGTCCATAGGACCAACAGGCCAGTTGGTCCAACCGGTCCATAGGACCAACAGGCCAGTTGGTCCAACCGGTCCATAGGACCAACAGGCCAGTTGGTCCAACCGGTCCATAGGACCAACAGGCCAGTTGGTCCAACCGGTCCATAGGACCAACAGGCCAGTTGGTCCAACCGGTCCATAGGACCAACAGGCCAGTTGGTCCAACCGGTCCATAGGACCAACAGGCCAGTTGGTCCAACCGGTCCATAGGACCAACAGGCCAGTTGGTCCAACCGGTCCATAGGACCAACAGGCCAGTTGGTCCAACCGGTCCATAGGACCAACAGGCCAGTTGGTCCAACCGGTCCATAGGACCAACAGGCCAGTTGGTCCAACCGGTCCATAGGACCAACAGGCCAGTTGGTCCAACCGGTCCATAGGACCAACAGGCCAGTTGGTCCAACCGGTCCATAGGACCAACAGGCCAGTTGGTCCAACCGGTCCATAGGACCAACAGGCCAGTTGGTCCAACCGGTCCATAGGACCAACAGGCCAGTTGGTCCAACCGGTCCATAGGACCAACAGGCCAGTTGGTCCAACCGGTCCATAGGACCAACAGGCCAGTTGGTCCAACCGGTCCATAGGACCAACAGGCCAGTTGGTCCAACCGGTCCATAGGACCAACAGGCCAGTTGGTCCAACCGGTCCATAGGACCAACAGGCCAGTTGGTCCAACCGGTCCATAGGACCAACAGGCCAGTTGGTCCAACCGGTCCATAGGACCAACAGGCCAGTTGGTCCAACCGGTCCATAGGACCAACAGGCCAGTTGGTCCAACCGGTCCATAGGACCAACAGGCCAGTTGGTCCAACCGGTCCATAGGACCAACAGGCCAGTTGGTCCAACCGGTCCATAGGACCAACAGGCCAGTTGGTCCAACCGGTCCATAGGACCAACAGGCCAGTTGGTCCAACCGGTCCATAGGACCAACAGGCCAGTTGGTCCAACCGGTCCATAGGACCAACAGGCCAGTTGGTCCAACCGGTCCATAGGACCAACAGGCCAGTTGGTCCAACCGGTCCATAGGACCAACAGGCCAGTTGGTCCAACCGGTCCATAGGACCAACAGGCCAGTTGGTCCAACCGGTCCATAGGACCAACAGGCCAGTTGGTCCAACCGGTCCATAGGACCAACAGGCCAGTTGGTCCAACCGGTCCATAGGACCAACAGGCCAGTTGGTCCAACCGGTCCATAGGACCAACAGGCCAGTTGGTCCAACCGGTCCATAGGACCAACAGGCCAGTTGGTCCAACCGGTCCATAGGACCAACAGGCCAGTTGGTCCAACCGGTCCATAGGACCAACAGGCCAGTTGGTCCAACCGGTCCATAGGACCAACAGGCCAGTTGGTCCAACCGGTCCATAGGACCAACAGGCCAGTTGGTCCAACCGGTCCATAGGACCAACAGGCCAGTTGGTCCAACCGGTCCATAGGACCAACAGGCCAGTTGGTCCAACCGGTCCATAGGACCAACAGGCCAGTTGGTCCAACCGGTCCATAGGACCAACAGGCCAGTTGGTCCAACCGGTCCATAGGACCAACAGGCCAGTTGGTCCAACCGGTCCATAGGACCAACAGGCCAGTTGGTCCAACCGGTCCATAGGACCAACAGGCCAGTTGGTCCAACCGGTCCATAGGACCAACAGGCCAGTTGGTCCAACCGGTCCATAGGACCAACAGGCCAGTTGGTCCAACCGGTCCATAGGACCAACAGGCCAGTTGGTCCAACCGGTCCATAGGACCAACAGGCCAGTTGGTCCAACCGGTCCATAGGACCAACAGGCCAGTTGGTCCAACCGGTCCATAGGACCAACAGGCCAGTTGGTCCAACCGGTCCATAGGACCAACAGGCCAGTTGGTCCAACCGGTCCATAGGACCAACAGGCCAGTTGGTCCAACCGGTCCATAGGACCAACAGGCCAGTTGGTCCAACCGGTCCATAGGACCAACAGGCCAGTTGGTCCAACCGGTCCATAGGACCAACAGGCCAGTTGGTCCAACCGGTCCATAGGACCAACAGGCCAGTTGGTCCAACCGGTCCATAGGACCAACAGGCCAGTTGGTCCAACCGGTCCATAGGACCAACAGGCCAGTTGGTCCAACCGGTCCATAGGACCAACAGGCCAGTTGGTCCAACCGGTCCATAGGACCAACAGGCCAGTTGGTCCAACCGGTCCATAGGACCAACAGGCCAGTTGGTCCAACCGGTCCATAGGACCAACAGGCCAGTTGGTCCAACCGGTCCATAGGACCAACAGGCCAGTTGGTCCAACCGGTCCATAGGACCAACAGGCCAGTTGGTCCAACCGGTCCATAGGACCAACAGGCCAGTTGGTCCAACCGGTCCATAGGACCAACAGGCCAGTTGGTCCAACCGGTCCATAGGACCAACAGGCCAGTTGGTCCAACCGGTCCATAGGACCAACAGGCCAGTTGGTCCAACCGGTCCATAGGACCAACAGGCCAGTTGGTCCAACCGGTCCATAGGACCAACAGGCCAGTTGGTCCAACCGGTCCATAGGACCAACAGGCCAGTTGGTCCAACCGGTCCATAGGACCAACAGGCCAGTTGGTCCAACCGGTCCATAGGACCAACAGGCCAGTTGGTCCAACCGGTCCATAGGACCAACAGGCCAGTTGGTCCAACCGGTCCATAGGACCAACAGGCCAGTTGGTCCAACCGGTCCATAGGACCAACAGGCCAGTTGGTCCAACCGGTCCATAGGACCAACAGGCCAGTTGGTCCAACCGGTCCATAGGACCAACAGGCCAGTTGGTCCAACCGGTCCATAGGACCAACAGGCCAGTTGGTCCAACCGGTCCATAGGACCAACAGGCCAGTTGGTCCAACCGGTCCATAGGACCAACAGGCCAGTTGGTCCAACCGGTCCATAGGACCAACAGGCCAGTTGGTCCAACCGGTCCATAGGACCAACAGGCCAGTTGGTCCAACCGGTCCATAGGACCAACAGGCCAGTTGGTCCAACCGGTCCATAGGACCAACAGGCCAGTTGGTCCAACCGGTCCATAGGACCAACAGGCCAGTTGGTCCAACCGGTCCATAGGACCAACAGGCCAGTTGGTCCAACCGGTCCATAGGACCAACAGGCCAGTTGGTCCAACCGGTCCATAGGACCAACAGGCCAGTTGGTCCAACCGGTCCATAGGACCAACAGGCCAGTTGGTCCAACCGGTCCATAGGACCAACAGGCCAGTTGGTCCAACCGGTCCATAGGACCAACAGGCCAGTTGGTCCAACCGGTCCATAGGACCAACAGGCCAGTTGGTCCAACCGGTCCATAGGACCAACAGGCCAGTTGGTCCAACCGGTCCATAGGACCAACAGGCCAGTTGGTCCAACCGGTCCATAGGACCAACAGGCCAGTTGGTCCAACCGGTCCATAGGACCAACAGGCCAGTTGGTCCAACCGGTCCATAGGACCAACAGGCCAGTTGGTCCAACCGGTCCATAGGACCAACAGGCCAGTTGGTCCAACCGGTCCATAGGACCAACAGGCCAGTTGGTCCAACCGGTCCATAGGACCAACAGGCCAGTTGGTCCAACCGGTCCATAGGACCAACAGGCCAGTTGGTCCAACCGGTCCATAGGACCAACAGGCCAGTTGGTCCAACCGGTCCATAGGACCAACAGGCCAGTTGGTCCAACCGGTCCATAGGACCAACAGGCCAGTTGGTCCAACCGGTCCATAGGACCAACAGGCCAGTTGGTCCAACCGGTCCATAGGACCAACAGGCCAGTTGGTCCAACCGGTCCATAGGACCAACAGGCCAGTTGGTCCAACCGGTCCATAGGACCAACAGGCCAGTTGGTCCAACCGGTCCATAGGACCAACAGGCCAGTTGGTCCAACCGGTCCATAGGACCAACAGGCCAGTTGGTCCAACCGGTCCATAGGACCAACAGGCCAGTTGGTCCAACCGGTCCATAGGACCAACAGGCCAGTTGGTCCAACCGGTCCATAGGACCAACAGGCCAGTTGGTCCAACCGGTCCATAGGACCAACAGGCCAGTTGGTCCAACCGGTCCATAGGACCAACAGGCCAGTTGGTCCAACCGGTCCATAGGACCAACAGGCCAGTTGGTCCAACCGGTCCATAGGACCAACAGGCCAGTTGGTCCAACCGGTCCATAGGACCAACAGGCCAGTTGGTCCAACCGGTCCATAGGACCAACAGGCCAGTTGGTCCAACCGGTCCATAGGACCAACAGGCCAGTTGGTCCAACCGGTCCATAGGACCAACAGGCCAGTTGGTCCAACCGGTCCATAGGACCAACAGGCCAGTTGGTCCAACCGGTCCATAGGACCAACAGGCCAGTTGGTCCAACCGGTCCATAGGACCAACAGGCCAGTTGGTCCAACCGGTCCATAGGACCAACAGGCCAGTTGGTCCAACCGGTCCATAGGACCAACAGGCCAGTTGGTCCAACCGGTCCATAGGACCAACAGGCCAGTTGGTCCAACCGGTCCATAGGACCAACAGGCCAGTTGGTCCAACCGGTCCATAGGACCAACAGGCCAGTTGGTCCAACCGGTCCATAGGACCAACAGGCCAGTTGGTCCAACCGGTCCATAGGACCAACAGGCCAGTTGGTCCAACCGGTCCATAGGACCAACAGGCCAGTTGGTCCAACCGGTCCATAGGACCAACAGGCCAGTTGGTCCAACCGGTCCATAGGACCAACAGGCCAGTTGGTCCAACCGGTCCATAGGACCAACAGGCCAGTTGGTCCAACCGGTCCATAGGACCAACAGGCCAGTTGGTCCAACCGGTCCATAGGACCAACAGGCCAGTTGGTCCAACCGGTCCATAGGACCAACAGGCCAGTTGGTCCAACCGGTCCATAGGACCAACAGGCCAGTTGGTCCAACCGGTCCATAGGACCAACAGGCCAGTTGGTCCAACCGGTCCATAGGACCAACAGGCCAGTTGGTCCAACCGGTCCATAGGACCAACAGGCCAGTTGGTCCAACCGGTCCATAGGACCAACAGGCCAGTTGGTCCAACCGGTCCATAGGACCAACAGGCCAGTTGGTCCAACCGGTCCATAGGACCAACAGGCCAGTTGGTCCAACCGGTCCATAGGACCAACAGGCCAGTTGGTCCAACCGGTCCATAGGACCAACAGGCCAGTTGGTCCAACCGGTCCATAGGACCAACAGGCCAGTTGGTCCAACCGGTCCATAGGACCAACAGGCCAGTTGGTCCAACCGGTCCATAGGACCAACAGGCCAGTTGGTCCAACCGGTCCATAGGACCAACAGGCCAGTTGGTCCAACCGGTCCATAGGACCAACAGGCCAGTTGGTCCAACCGGTCCATAGGACCAACAGGCCAGTTGGTCCAACCGGTCCATAGGACCAACAGGCCAGTTGGTCCAACCGGTCCATAGGACCAACAGGCCAGTTGGTCCAACCGGTCCATAGGACCAACAGGCCAGTTGGTCCAACCGGTCCATAGGACCAACAGGCCAGTTGGTCCAACCGGTCCATAGGACCAACAGGCCAGTTGGTCCAACCGGTCCATAGGACCAACAGGCCAGTTGGTCCAACCGGTCCATAGGACCAACAGGCCAGTTGGTCCAACCGGTCCATAGGACCAACAGGCCAGTTGGTCCAACCGGTCCATAGGACCAACAGGCCAGTTGGTCCAACCGGTCCATAGGACCAACAGGCCAGTTGGTCCAACCGGTCCATAGGACCAACAGGCCAGTTGGTCCAACCGGTCCATAGGACCAACAGGCCAGTTGGTCCAACCGGTCCATAGGACCAACAGGCCAGTTGGTCCAACCGGTCCATAGGACCAACAGGCCAGTTGGTCCAACCGGTCCATAGGACCAACAGGCCAGTTGGTCCAACCGGTCCATAGGACCAACAGGCCAGTTGGTCCAACCGGTCCATAGGACCAACAGGCCAGTTGGTCCAACCGGTCCATAGGACCAACAGGCCAGTTGGTCCAACCGGTCCATAGGACCAACAGGCCAGTTGGTCCAACCGGTCCATAGGACCAACAGGCCAGTTGGTCCAACCGGTCCATAGGACCAACAGGCCAGTTGGTCCAACCGGTCCATAGGACCAACAGGCCAGTTGGTCCAACCGGTCCATAGGACCAACAGGCCAGTTGGTCCAACCGGTCCATAGGACCAACAGGCCAGTTGGTCCAACCGGTCCATAGGACCAACAGGCCAGTTGGTCCAACCGGTCCATAGGACCAACAGGCCAGTTGGTCCAACCGGTCCATAGGACCAACAGGCCAGTTGGTCCAACCGGTCCATAGGACCAACAGGCCAGTTGGTCCAACCGGTCCATAGGACCAACAGGCCAGTTGGTCCAACCGGTCCATAGGACCAACAGGCCAGTTGGTCCAACCGGTCCATAGGACCAACAGGCCAGTTGGTCCAACCGGTCCATAGGACCAACAGGCCAGTTGGTCCAACCGGTCCATAGGACCAACAGGCCAGTTGGTCCAACCGGTCCATAGGACCAACAGGCCAGTTGGTCCAACCGGTCCATAGGACCAACAGGCCAGTTGGTCCAACCGGTCCATAGGACCAACAGGCCAGTTGGTCCAACCGGTCCATAG